ACAGTCCAGGAGCCTGTTCACCCCTGTTTGAATAGTATAGCCCTTGGCTATATAAAAGACTGCAGAGGGAGTCTCGACATTCTGAAACCCGTAGAAGACGAGAAAAGTTGAAGAAAAGATAATAGGTAATAACAGAACAGAAGAATTAAAACAGTAAAATTAAATTAAGGCTTAGGGTACAGAGCGCCGGTAAATGGTAAGCCAAGAAATTGTGGTGAAGTGCAAGGTATAGTAACCCTGAACAAGGGTGAGGTACCGAGTACTCATTACAATAGAAACTTGGCTTTGGAACTAGGTGCAGGGGGCTCAGTCTTACATGTAGTACTTGGTAACAAAGAAATACGGCTTGTAGATCCCGTTGTTTATAAAAAAAAATTATAAAACAAGGAAAAGTATCCCATGAAAATAATAGATAATCATTGTTGTAAATAATTTTTATTCCCAGTATTAATTATAGGCTCAGATAGAGCCAGAGAAAAGGTTTATATACATTTGGGTAACATTAAGACCATGTATCTCTTAAAAAAGAAACCCTTAGGTCACACGTTACATTTTGGTGGGATATAAAGTATCCGGAGAAGGTATTCAGACTGATCCACAGAAGATCTAAACCATTGACAAATGGCCTGTGCCCTTGAATGTCACCGAGGTTTGGTCATTTCGCATTGTCAGGAGACATTCCACTGGTAAATCAAGTGAAATTTCAAAGTATTGCAATTTACTTTTTACACAAGTAAATATCAGTATTAATATCCATATATTTATATTTGCAAATATGTTTGTTAGATGAACCTATGGAAGAGAAACATTCTGTAAGTAGTTATTTGGGGGTAAGACGTCATAGTGCGACCGAATTCCATGGCGAGATGATATGTTGCCTACATATTTCTGTCACGGTGCAACTGATAAAATGATTGAAAATATGGATATTTCAATTAAGAGATATGAAGGATATGGAGATAACAAACAGTATTCAAGTCCATAAAACATTACAAAATAGGAGCAGAGCAAACACAGACCCCGAAACATCAGAGGTGGGATCAGGTGCCATGGAGGAGTGAGCATCCCCTGCTGACCTGTCTCACACGCCGTGTGCTCCTTGTCATAATCGGGAAATAACGGGAAAATCCGTCTTCAATTCAGCATATAAATGATGGACTAACAACAAGTATGAAAAACGTGAGTCAGCATTTGACTCAATGAGTTATATAATAAATCTTCTTTCGATGTGAATAATGTTTTGAATACTATAATAAGTCTTCATAGCACGTTACCTTATTAACCCGAAATTCAATTGGAGTTCTGTAAAGTTAAACAGGCGATATCATTGCTTTTGACTAAAATATATCAAATTTATGCAAAATCTTATGCGTGAAAAGAAGAAAAAAAAGAAAACACTTCCTGTGGCCTTCAACTCGACATTTTGATATATCGACGACGTATTGTCTATTAACAATGGTAATTTCCATCCCTACGTCAATACGATAATCCTGGTGAGCTTCAGATCAAAGATATTACAAGAGTCTGACACATCTGTTTCATACTTGGATATTTTAAGTGAAAAAGACGTTAATGGTAATCTAACAACCAAGCTATATGATAAACGTGATGACTTTAACTTTTCTATCGTCAACTTCTCTTACTTATGCAGCAATATATCTTCATCACCTGCATACTAAAAGTGTATATATCTCTGTTGATTCGAAACGTAAGAGCATGCTCTACGTATGAACAATTTCTAAAACGAGGTAAATTTTTGACAAACAAGTTGATGAAACAAGAATTTCAGCAGTCTTGTTTAATGTCATCATTTGGTAAGTTCTATGGTCAATACAATGACCTTGTCAGCAAATACAATTTGTCATGGAGTCAAATGCTGACTGACATTTTTCATACTTATTGTTAGTCCATCATTTTTTCACTGAATTTTTTTTCGCTGAACACGGATTTTCCCGTTATTTCCCGATTATGACAAGGAGGTGTGACCGGTCAGCAGGGGATGTTCACTCCTTCATGGCACCTGATCCCACCTCTGATGTTTCGGAAGTTCGTTTTTGCTCTGCTCCTATTATGTATTGTTTCATGGACTTTGATATTGAATACTGTTCGTTATATCGATATTCTTCAATGAGATTGTTTTTATGTCTCATTATATTTTTAGCATGTAATGCAAAAAGGTACGGTACCCAATGTTCTGAAAGCTGCTAATGTGTGATGGAGAATACACGTGATTGTGATGACAAGTGGAATGGGGCTTATTGTGATGTTCCCGTAGATGAGTGTACGAATAGAACTGCTATTTGCGACCCAGATCTGCAGGACTGCATAATGAAAAATGGAGAAAATAGATATTTCTGTTCTTGTCGCTATGGAACCAATGTCACCGCTGGTGGAAAGTGCTTGTGTAAGAAAAATTATTTTAGATATTTCAAAGAATCATAATGGAAAAGATAATTAACCTCTTATTATCCTTCTTATTTTCATTGTAGCCCCAGTACAACCGTATACAACTAGTAAGTGAAATAGCTAAATGTAGTTTTAAATCGCTTTTCTGTATGATTTTTATTAAACAATATATGAAAAATTAACTACTCAAAAAGGCATAATAAACAAGTTTTGACAAGTATGAGAAATAAAATGGAATGTCTTTTAATCTTGATAAAAACTGCAAAAAAAAAAACCAAGTTTAGAGCAGAAACAACCCTGGCCGTTGAAATAACACAAGAGGAGTTTCAAGAGAAAACGAAAGCTATTATGGATAATTCTTTAACATAGTGAGTGTTTTAAATAATTTTAAACCTTGTTGTAGCTGTGTTCATGTAAATCAACATAAATAATTTTCAATTCATTTTCAGTTTACAGGGCATTCTAGGAGCAGAATACCCGGCTTTATGAAATTAATCATCCCATCTCACAGGTAAAATAAACATTGCAGAACCCGTGTATTACTGCTTATATATTTTGTACATTGTTGACTTTCTTAAACATTCATATTCTAAATTGATTGATTTTAAATTCAAGTCTTAATAGATGCTAGTCTATAGTATTGTCAAAATAGATATTAAATATTTTAGAACTAGTATCATTTTGTTTTAGACTTGGAAGTTTGGAAATAAGATATGAAATAAATTGCTGGTAAAAATGAGATTCCACATGACCAGGCAGGCCAGTATATATGGGCTACAAAACAACTATTTGGTAAATCTATTGTGTTGGAATCCCTGGTCAGAAACAGCACAGTTTCCCTTGTCAATATTGTCAAGAGAATGGTAAGTTTTTCTGTCATATATCTCCTGAATTATTTGCTGTTAATTTATTCGAAATTTATGATAAAAGAATTACAATAATTATTATTATTGATTGATTTATCGAATCGGTATTATTTCAGTCATACTCAGAATCTCTGCGGTTAATTACAGTTGTAAAAACAACCGTAATATATATGTTTGAATTAAACTCACGCTGATATTTACATTTTATATTTATCATGACAGATCCTTTGAAGGAAGTGATGTCTTCGAATCAAGAATACCCGTAGGCAAAGGTGGCAAAGTTCCGTTTAGTTTAAAATTTCCCTGGTCTTCGGAAAGCGATATCAGAAGAAAGAGCAATATCACGATACAAAGTTCAAACGCCACGCCCAGCATGGATCAGGAAGGTACCACAGGGATTGGGAATGATGGTGGCCACACCAGGTTTTATCTTGGTAATATAAATGACTTGCGTATCGACCATTTTCCCGTTACAATATACGCATGCATTTTCAATATGAAATCTTTTCTATCAATATTTTTTTATATTTCCTATCAATTGTAGATCAATATTTATATCATAATCCGAGTATAAAATTGTAGTTTTTATTAAAATTTGTGAGTTCAAGCCTAGAGTCTGATTGCAGCTTTCCTCAATCAGTGGCTGCTTATGACCGCTTTGATATGCAAATTGATTTAGTCAAACGATTAAGCATATATTCTTGGATAATACAGATTCATTTGATTGAAAGGAATTTAATTACGCTTCGTTGATCTTTCGGATTTTATTTTTAAAAAAAAATTCATGTAAAACAAGTATGATTAGGAATATGGATATTAAACATCCTAAGTTAATGCATATTAAAAGATTGTAGGATAAGGACACAATAGACAATCAAAAATAGATTTTTTAAAAACTTCTCAAGCACAACATGATATATATCAGTACTTTTTTGCAAGCTTTTCCATGTAATGCATCCATATCATTGGCTAAATTTAAAGTTAAACATTTGAAAGTGTGGAAAAATCAAAAACGAAACATTTTCAGTCGTGAGAAACCCTGGGATCTCTAAAAAAAAATCTGATAACAATTCAAATCTGTTAATAAGGTAATAAACACGGACCTTGAAATTTTCAGAAGTGAATCAGATGACTAGGGAAATTAAAAATAAAACCTGAGCCCTATGTAGCAATGAAGTATACGGAGTTTATCATAGTAAAATTTAGAACGAAATTCAGGAGTCTATATAATCCATTTATGACTTTCCCTATGATATGAGATACATGCATATCATCAATATTGCAAGGCAACGTTTTTGTTGTATTCGACATTGTTCAAAGTAAATCCTTGAATGTTATTACACCAATTTATTAGAAGATATCAATCAAAAAACCCAAAAAGCTGCCCTTAAATAATGGCCTCTCATTATGAGTGAAAATTTTCGAAATGGATGTTTCACAAACAAACAAACAAACAAACAAAATAATCAAAGTCTTGACATTTAGGGTTCAATATTTGTCGTTGTACCAGCATTATTTTTTTCTATGTAATTTACTGAGGGTTGGGTTGAGTATATACATGTAATATGCTAATTTTGTAAATCAAAGTACTACGGATTCTTTCTGGGATTTCACGCGATCGTATTTGCCAACAGAGAAATCGGTTAGATTTTCTTTTTTAAAGACATATGAGTTCGAGCCTTAACTTTGAGATATTCCATATTATTTTATTAATTATTTCAATTTCAGTTTGAAATTAGAAGACCTGTTGCTGAAAGGAGACCTAATCCTTTGTTTGTAAGGATATGTTTATTCTTAACATCCATCCATCTTGTACTGATCCTCCCTTTAATTTAGTTTGATTAATTGATTTTGAAATAAACAATAGTAGAATGTAAATTTATATATCTATATTTTCAGAGAGATTAATCAACAGCTGTGCAAGTCAGCAGAGAGAACAAAGTTGTTTTTTTTCTTTGGAGTGAAAATAAGCATGCTACATTAGTTTATTTTTGTGATATACATGCAGTTTTTCGAGATCAACACTGTCTTATGACCTATATGAAACTCTTGTATATAAATATTACCTTTCTTGTTTGATGTGCTTTTTGAGAATAATTCATTTTATATAGGAAAGGATATCATCTTTAGACTACCAAGTATAACAAGAGGCCCATGGGCCACATCGCTCACCTGAGCACCAAGGGTAGGACTAGTATAAAATGGCTTTTTATTGTAAAGTTTAAATCCAAAAGTAGTCCCATGACCAATCATGGATTTGCTATTTTTTAGAAAATGATTGAGAAGAAGATTTTTAAAGAATTTTCCTATATATTTCTATGTAAAACTTTGGTCGGCCATTGTAACCCCGCCCTACCCCCGGGGGTCATGATTTGAACAAACTTGAATCTACACTACCTGAACATGCTTCCATATAAATATGATGAATAATGGCTTTGTCATTCTTGAGAAGAAGGTTTTTAAAGAATTTTCCTATATATTTCTATGTAAAACCTTAGTCGGCCATTTTGGCCCAGCCCTACCCCCGGGGGTCATGATTTGAACAAACTTGAATCTACACTACCTGAGCATGCTTCCATATAAATATGATGAATTATGGCTTTGTCATTCTTGAGAAGAAGGTTTTTAAAGAATTTTCCTATATATTTCTATGTAAAACCTTGGTCGGCCATTTTGGCCCAGCCCTACCCCCGGGGGTCATGACTTGAACAAACTTGAATCTCCACTACCTGAGCATGCTTCCATATAAATATGATGAATTATGGCTTTGTCATTCTTGAGAAGAAGGTTTTTAAAGAATTTTCCTATATATTTCTATGTAAAACCTTGGTCGGCCATTTTGGCCCAGCCCTACCCCCGGGGGTCATGATTTGAACAAACTTGAATCTACACTACCTGAGCATGCTTCCATATAAATATGATGAATTATGGCTTTGTCATTCTTGAGAAGAAGATTTTTAAAGAATTTTCCTATATATTTCTATGTAAAACTTTGGTCGGCCATTTTGGCCCCGCCCTACCCCTGGGGGTCATGATTTGAACAAACTTGAATCTACACTACCTGAGGATGTTTCCCCATAAGTTTCATCTTTCCTGGCACAGTGGTTCTTGAGAAGAAGATTTTTAAAATATACCACTAAATTTTCATTAATTCCCAATTATCTCCCCTTGAATAAGGGCGTGGCCCTTCATTTGAACAAACTTGAATCCCTTTCACCCAAGAATACTTTGTGGCAAGTTTGGTTGAAATTGGCCCAGTGGTTCTTGAGAAGAAGTGGAAAATGTGAAAAGTTTACAGACAGACAGACGGACGGACGGACGGACGGACGGACGCCGGACAAAATGTGATCAGAAAAGCTCACTTGAGCCTTCGGCTCAGGTGAGCTAAAAAGGAGTTTGACTTGACATTTAAAATATTTTTTTCCTTATTTATTTCTACTGGCAACAAATTGTTTCAACCTGTAGTTCTCTTTATTGAAGTCAGGATCAGGTTTGATTGTTATTGTCAGCAACACTTTTAATATAAATATGTTGATAATAATTAGATTATAGATGAAGTAGAATAATTTTAAAACCCAAATTTCTACAGACCCAAATTAAAATGCAGTTACGATCTTTAACAACATTGTTTTTAGAAGGTTTTGTTTCTTTTTGTTTGCACATAATTTTCTCTATATATAGCCGATAAATCAATAAACCAAGTACATATGAATTTGTTTAGTTCTATATTCAGCTATTTTATTTTCTTTTTGCTTTATTTAAAATGAAGGATGTTTTCATTTTTTTTAATTCAAAGTAATGATAAATCATCCATAAAACACTTAATTAGTTTTGTTTTTTATCCATCGCAATAGAGAGGAAAGTATGTTTTAAATATTAGGAGATAACGAACAGAATATAAGCTAAAAAGTGCATTCAAAAAATAAACATCAGAGGCAAATCAAACACTGCTCCCTCATACATCAGAGGCGGGGTCAGGAGTGAGTATCCCCTGACAACCAATTACATCCATCTTGTGCTTCTTGACTTCATGTCATGTTTAAGAAATAACAGAAAAAATCCGCTGACAATTCGGTTTAAAAATCTAACAATTAGCTTGAAAAATGTTGCTCGGCTTTGGACGTAATAATACCCCTGATGTTTTGGAGGTCTATGTGTGCTCCGCTCCTATTTTGTATTGTTAACTGGACTTTTGAAGTTCAATACTGTTCGTTGTCTCTGTATATTTCATGAAACATATGGAGATAACAAACAGTGTTCAAGATTAAAATTCCACAAAACAATACAAAATAGGAGCAGAGCAAACATGGACCTCCAAACATAAGAGGTGGGATCAGCTGCCATGGAGGTGTGAGCATCCCCTGCTGACCTGTTGTTATACCGACCGTGTGCTCCTTGTAATCATCAGGGAATAACGGAAAAATCTGTTGTCAATTCAGTGAATAAATAATGGAATAATAAATTTCTTAAAAAGTTATTCAGCATTTAATTCAATGATAAATTGTATTAGCTGACAAAGTAGAACTTACGAAAGCATTACTTTAAGCGAAACTGCTGATATCTTATTCTTGATTACTCAACATGTTCGTGAATAATTTACCTCGTTTTGGAAATTGTTCATACGTAGAGCATGCTCTCGTTTATCGAATCAACTGTGATATATACACTCCGTATGAAGGTGATGAAGGTATATTGTTACATAAGTAAGGTTAATTGATAAAAGAAAAGTAAAAGTCATCACGTTTATCATACAGCTTGGATGTTAGATTATCATTAACGTTTTTTTTTTCAAAGTAAAATACTCAGATATGAAACAGATGTGTCAGATTCTGTGGTATCTTTTATCTCTAGCTCACGAAGAAATGTGTAAAAAATCAAAATCTGAGACGTTCCATAACGTTGTAATTTTTGACAATCTGTCTACGCACTGGTCATCTATATTTAAGGATAAAATATCCATTAACACTCCAATTTAATTCAAAATATCACCAAATAATGCTTCGTAATTATTTTGTCGGCGAGTAAATTATCATTGAACTTTCTGCAATACAACAGTGTAACTTTTTTTTATTTCCAAAAATATATCTATGTATTGCAAATGTTCCAAAAAGTGACATGTTCCGTGAAGCATGTTTATTGGAAATAAAATAGCAGTATATTGCTGCATGAGTAAAGTAAGTAAACGATTGAAACGTTAAGAGTCATCACGTTTATCATAAAATTTAGCTTTGCTATTATATAAATTTCAATTAACGTATCATCCAAATATGAGATAAATATGCGATATTATGTGGTATCTTTAATTTCAAGCTGACTTAGATATATCGTGCCTACGTATGAATGGAAATAAATATAGTGAATTGATAACACATCGTCGAAAATCAAAATGTCGAGTTGGAGGCCATAGCAAGTGTTTTTCTCGTGTATATGAATGAAACATATGGGGATAACGACATTATTCAAGATCAAAAGTATATATATATAATATATATGAACCATATGTTTATCGTTGAGTTGAAGGAAACTTTCTGGTTTTGCAAAATCTAGTATCCATATATCTCTATCACTAGCAAGAATGACGAGAGGCGAATAATCTAATGATGACGTTTTTCTGCTCTACCATTAGAAAGGGAGCGAAAAAATAACGTGGGGATGTACTTCTCTTATTTCTTTGATTGTTATTTGCTTTATTATCACTTTTGAGAATTTCAGAATCTTCTTACATATTTCAGGGTCCTCCAGACCCTGTGACTTTTGACGTATATAGAGAAAAAATATTCCCATTTCCGTTTTTCTTTCTAGTTTGCACATTGACGATTTGGCCTGGTGCTGCTTGTAAGAGAGTCTTACAAACGCTTTAGAGATAAAGGTTTTGCTATGAGAAAAGTATGCAGTACACTAAGAGGGACACCCTAATTATAAACAATGAACACATGGTATGATCACGGTGTGACAGATGGAAAAAGATGTGCAGGTTTTTTTTTTTAAAATAAAAGAAGAACAGACGTCTGGGATTATGTTACATATTAATTCGTAAACAACGGGTACCGGTATGACGAGAAACTTTCAGGTTATTTATACATTCATGCTAATCAACCGAGTTTGTTATGATAGTTGAAATCTTTCCATATTAAATTGTGCGTTTCAATAATACATCATCTCAATGCGTGTTTATAAATATTGATAAAATAGTATGCGTTTCTAGTTTTCAATTTTTATATTTGTCCAGTTCAGTAGCCAATAATAAGTAAATATAGTATGTTGACGTATGCGGAGACTTGCCAAAGTTTTTGAGTCCCGGGCAACAGGAAAGATAACTCCAAAAAGGAACTTTGATACCAAAGATTTAAAAAATATTTTTTCTACATCAGTGCATTAAGTTTTAATTCAATTTTTTGATGTAATCTAATTCATTAATGGTTCTTCTGTACAAAAGGAGTCTTTATTGATTTTTCTCGAAACGTATTTTAGAAAAAATGAGTTTTATGTACTTTTTATAAATAAAATTAATTTCTGTAAAAAAAAAATATGTTGATCGATAAAATTAAGTTTTTATGCTTATTCTATGAGCTTAAAAATATGCGAAAGGGTAGGACAAAATTTGTTGTGCTAGGTATGAAAACGCCTTGGGAAAAATTGTCTAATCTTGTGAATTTATCATTTTAAAAAATCAGTATTAATTACCTTTTAATCCCTGGACAGTTTTTAAAGGTTGATATGGTTGTTAAAAGTAATTTTCAATAATATGAAAATATAAGCTGTGTGTGTGTGGAGGACCCTTAAAGTCAGCCACGAGTCAACGAAGCGCTGTAAAATATTGTCATTTCCGAAAATCGCAGACATAACATTGATATCCAATAATTCGCATTACGATTAAAAATTTTAGATGAATGCATGAAAAATAGATAGTTTGTAAAACAAATCTAACTCATTTTCAGGTATGATCGTCTTTAATTAAGAAAATTTAGTTCATTGACCTGCAGTGTATGTTGTGTTATTTTTGATGGGAATTTTTAAGAAGTTTTGAAGCATTTTTATCTGGTTTCAATTGTAGATCCATCCTTTTGTTGTTGAAAGCCTTAAATTTACTTAAAAACGTTATATTTGATAAGTTAGTAAAATGTCGCCTTTTTTGTGTGATGCAATCTACAAATTTTCATTCATAATGTCATTTTAATTCTTACTAGTTCTCTATAAAACTTTGGAAATCAAGCAGTTACTCGTGTTATATGACTGTCCAGGATGTGAGGACGTAATTTAGATAATAGTCAAGAACAATTCTGACGTCATCAGCATTATCTCCGTCTTTGGTTTCACAAAAACATTAAATTTGAGAATCGAGAATTAATCGAAGACTAAACATCTTGCAGAACAGTCAACATCTGCCACCAGATGAAAAGAAATAAAATAGATATACTTATCCTGTTCGGATTATCTACTCCAAGCATCCACAAGGGTTAAGTTACTGTTGGGAACTGTTGGAAAATTAAACGGTATGTATGTTATAGACTTAATCCACGAATGCGTTTGAAAAAGCTTCTCTAATAGGTTTTAAATCGCAATTACTACTTTAAATTGTTCCACATTAATTGCCAGGTTTGCTTCTGTATTAATTATTAATCATTAATTGATGAATTATTTCCATCACATGTTCCAATGGTAAATTTGAAGATGAAATCCTTCACTCTGCTCGTGTTGGTCGTGTGTTTGATAGGTAAGTACTACATCATATACCAGAATTTCAAAATAGAAAATCTTATTCCCTATGGTCCGAAATAGAGAAAATTATTTTTCCTCACTAGGCATGATCTATCAAAAATATTTTCTAGCCTCTGTACAAATTGCCATGGCTGGGCATGGCTTTTACTGTGTGTATCACAACGACAAAACATGCAGTGATTACTGCCAGAACGAGCTCAGCTGTAGAGGGGGATATTGTGGGTAGGCCTGGTGTGTTTGCAAGTGTGTCGGTTGTTAAAAAAAACTGAGCAGGTACTAGAATGTTCTATTTATGAAGTTCTGAAAAAGTATAGCAAATACTGAAATAGCAATGCCAACTGAACATTTTAGATCAGATCAAAATATGTTTCAAATGAAATTTATGGAGATAACGAACAGAATTTACGCTCAAAAGTTCATTAGACAATACGAATTTAGAACAGAGCAAACACAGACATCAAAAAAGGGTTTGATTAGATGTCATAAAAACTTATTTCGATAATCTCTCAAAAAGTTTTACTGAAATTATGAAAGACATGTTCAAATTACGATTCAAGCTTACTTCTATTTCAGGAAAAACGGAAAAAGGACTACATGACATATGTAGTTATGAACTATTAGTAAACCATTAAAGCACCAGTTTTTAATGATTATTCTGTCTTTAATGAATAATCTAAATTCGAAACATTTATTATCAGGGATATTAATCAGCATGTACACTTAACCAAAGCGATTTTATTTCTATCCTAAGCAGAGTTTGTTTAGAAAACTTTTCATATATGGATATAAAACATTTTAGATAAATCCTGTTCAATCACTTACTTTCTTATGTTTAGGTAAAAGCTTAAACGTTTACCATTTTACCACGCCCTGTAAAGAAAAAAGGTGCAATATTCGCCAAAAGATCCGTTGAAAACATTTTTGATAGCCCAAGATTTTTATAATTAGATGAAATATAATTAGTTACATGAATCAAATGTAAGCATTGCAAAAATAACACTCAATGCTGCACATTTTATTATAGAAGAACGAACGTCGAGGTTTTACGAAGTATTAAGACACGACATTCAATAAGTATAATATGAAAATTCAAAGAAGAGTAGAATATCGTATAATTTGCGGTTATTTTCTGCCAAAACAGTACTTTGTTCATTCAGCGGAAGTTGTGCTTCAGAAGCTGTGACGTCACTCGTAAGTTGCGTTTCCATAACGGATTTCAAAATTGCAAATAATTCTTTATAACCATAGAAAAATTGAAAGATAAAAATAAAATAAATTAGAAGTTGTTCTGAGCTCTGATTATGGTAATTTAAAGCGATAGATGCTATTCTCTACAATTTGATTTTACAGGGATTTCAACAACTTCGTTTAAATTGGACAATTCGTAAATTCTGTAGGCGTTATAATAAATTTCAGGAATTCTGTGCAACAATATGTATATTAGAAAAGTGGTCTAAGTCAGATTTGAATACTTACGAATCCCAAGGAATTTTTGAAAAATTTAAAACCATAAAATTTTACAACAATCAACAGCATAAAAACTTACGACTTTCCGATTTATATACGAGTACATCTCTTTCCCATGATAAATTAAAGTCCAGGCTTAAGGCTAAAATAGGCTGAGCCTGCTGCCCAATCCAATTCATAATAACATCAGTGAATAAAATTTTGTTTAGATTTAAAGTCCAGGCTTTTTAATAACGTTGACAGCTGCTTTTTCAATAAAAATGAAACACGTAAATTTACTTACCTTGTCATTTGCAAAATTATTTTCTTAAAACATTCTGATTGTACACACAAGTACTCTAAAGTAAATAGATAAAAAAAATGCTTGAGTTTCTGATTGACATCTTAGTTGTTTTTTAGAAACCAGGACTTCCAAATATATTGGATTTCCCTTGAGTACCCATTGCACGCCGTTATTAGCAGACCTAGTTTTAGTATTCATATGAAGCAGAATTTGTCCAACATCTTATACGTGAAAAGAAGAAAACACCTGCTATGGCCTTCAACTCGACATTTAGATGTATCGACAACGTATTGTCAATTAATAATGGTCGTTTACATACTTATGTATATTCGATATATCCCGGGGAGCTTGAGATAAAAGATACCACGGAGTCATACACATCTGTATCATATTTGGATATTTCACTTGAAAAAGACATGAAGCTTTATGATAAACGTGATGACTTTAACGTTTCTATTGTCAATTTCCCTTACTTATGCAGCAATATACCGTCATCACCTGCATACGTTTACATATCTCAGTTGTTTAGATACGCAAGAGCATGCTCTACCTATGAACGATTTCTTCAACGAGGTAAATTATTGACAAACAGATTGATGAAACAAGAATTTCATCAGTTTCGTTTAAAGACATCATTTCGTAAGTTCTATGGTCGACACAATGACCTTGTCAGCAAATACAATTTATCATAGAGTAAATGCTAACTGGCGTTTTTATGCATATTATTAGTTCATTATTTATACACTGAATTGACCACGGATTTTTCCGTTATTTCTCGATCATGACAAGGAGCACTCGGCGGGTGTGACCGGTCGGCAGGGGATGCTCACTCCTCATTGGCACCTGATTCCACCTCTGATGTTTTGGAGGTCCGTGTTAGCTCTGCTTCGAATTCTATTTTGTATTGTTTTGTGGACTTTTGATGTGGTATACTGTTCGTTATCTCCGAACGTTTCATTAAGATATAAGATGTATAATGAAGGGATTTTGAACCATAGTGAATAATAATAAATTGATAATATTTAATAATAATAAATTAATTTATAAACTAGTTAAAATGCATTGCTGGGTAACGATATAATAAAATGAACCAAATTCAAAATAGTGATTACATGTCAGAAGCAGGTCATTTTCCGCCTTTAAAGTTTTAAGAGTTATCTGCCTTTGATGAAAAGAAGAAAATTTTAATTTCGTCAAAATATCTGTAAATAAAGAGAGTGTTTATGCATACTATCACCAAGAGATTTGTTTAAAATTCAAATTACCTTTTACAATATCTTCTAAAAAACATGTGCTGCTTATAGACCTCAATGTAAAATTCAAGGTGCAATTAATTCGACAATAATCAAAATTTTACAAATTCCTTTTGTGGAGCAGTTTTATTTGATAACAGCATCAAAATGCTACCATGATTGAAAATATCGGACATCCATTCATTCGGTACAAAATGTGGTCTTTATACATTGAATATCTAAATGATGACCAACAACCAAGCGTTATGATAAACGCGATGACTAACTTTTCAATCGTAAACTTTCCTTACTTATGCATCAATATACATTCATCACCTGCTTAAGGGGTTCGGGAATTCTTGTTTTTGTAGTTGATTCGATACGAGAGAGAATATTAAACAAAGGCAAGCTATTTACGTATATGATGATGAAGCAAGGATTTCAGTAGCCTTGCTTTAAGGCGATATTTTTCAAAATACATGAAGACCCTGTTAGAAAATACAATCTTGCGTAAAATGTTGGCTGCAGTTTTTTCCCTGCAAAAGCCATTATTTCATACTAAATCATCCAGAGTTGGCACGGTAAGTGAAAGTGGTCAAATTGATATGATTACTCCTCCACAGCACCAAATCCCATCTCTTAAGCATTTAGAGGTACCTTTGTTCTGCTCCTAATTTGATTGCTACAACAGACTTCTTAGCTCGATTACCATTTCTTATCTGAATATTTTATATAATTTACGTCTTATCTATGAACAATAATAAAATTTCATTCATTGGTTGACTGTACATATTCCAAAAACCAAGGTTGGGGCCGGCAATTTATCCATTTATTGAATTTAATTCGTAAATTGATTTTTATAATTTTGTGTAAAATTAGTATTCCATTTGCAATGATTTGGTACATAATAAATTGCTTAATACCAGAACGATCAATAAGGTACGTCCACATACATATTATAATTATCCAGAAACTTCTGATGAGTAACTTTTATTAATTTACCGGTTGCAACAAAATAATTTAATGAGATTTGTATTTGACATATCTCTAACACAATTTATCTTTTTCTCTCTCTTCCGGCTTCCATTTTCGTTTTTTTTAAATTATGTATATATCATACTGATTCATCACAAAAATTTTACTGTAGCTAAAAGCACGTGAACAGCTTTTCGACAAACAACACAATTTGTAATGCCAGCTAGATTGTATCACATGTTAGAGTAAATTTTAAACTTTTGAATAATGTTCAATTCAGTTTCAATTTTCATAAGGAATTATAAAATATTAGTATGTATAAGTATTTTTAACCATTATAACTATGCAAACTTTTGGGTTTAAAAAAATATATTTCCTTTCCCAATATTTTCTGTAAGATTCTTAGCAAATTAGAAAAGGTTCATGTTTTCATGAACTACCGTGGGATGAGTAAGAAAATTTCCATTGTGATCCGATTAAAGTAAAAAAGAAAAGTGCAACTTATTTTGTTCAAAAATGATCATTGAATGACAAAAATATGTCACAAGTTATCAGAAAAATAATGTAAATAAAAATTATGAATTTAATTTTTTTTTAGAATTCAAGTTACTTTTGGAGCAATAAACCTTCATCGCCTGCATACGGAGCTAATATCTCTGAGTTGATTCGACAAGCAAGAGCATACAATTTCTTAAACAAGGTAAATTATTGACAAACAAGTTGATGAAACAAGAAAATCAACAGTCTCTTTTAAAGTCATAATTTCGCAAGTTCTATGGTCGATACAATGACCTTGTCAGCAAATACAATTTATCATTTGAGTCAAATGCTGACTGACAATCGATTGAATCTGCATAGTATCTGTTTCTACAGTGATAAAACTAGGGATTTTGTACGCTTGTATTTGAAAAGATATTTCAACTTCATTTTTGAAAACACCATGATACAATGGCATATTGTCATGAACACAACAAATTAACAGACATAAAATTTAAAAATAATAATAATATCTAAGTAATCATATCAGGTTTGATGATGGTTTTCTTCGTCGTAGATCTACGCTATGTTGCATTTCCATCACACAGTCTAAATAGTGCCCATTTTTCTTGAAATACTAATAAAAAAATGAAAATATACATTTAAGAAATAAAATATTTTTTCTCAGAATTTCATTGGGTATGACATGAAGTCGGTACGTGATCAAATCTACTATAACGCCCGATAGAATTTGATCACTTGACCGACTTCATATCTTATTCCAATGAAACTCTAAAAATGATATCTTATTTTTGAAATAGCAATGTTGAAATTTACATTGATCAAAACTAGGACAATAAAGTACAAAATATTTTTCATATTCAAGAAAAGTTTACAAGTTTACTGGCTTTCATGAATGTTACAACTTACATTTATGCATGATGACATTTCAAAAGATACTAAACTCTCTCTACCCTTTTATTGTCCTTAGAACCAAACACATACAAATATTTCTAAGCTGCAAGACTTGACAAATGATATCAAATGTAGACATCACGTGTGTTTTCATAGACAGCAACTTTGAGAAATGTTTACCTGGGTAGAACTCACCTGACTATTTTTAATGATTTATTTTACATGTGACTTAAGCATGAAGATGAAATAGCTATT